AAACTATATTTGCATTACAGACTTGGCAAATGAGGCTCCATGTACTTGCTACAATGATACTAGATGACAGAATTGCAGATGATTTATGAAAAATTAAGGTCTGTTTTCACACTGGTTAACCTGTCTGTTTCATCTGAGTGAATGTTTCAGGACCTGTCAAGGAGCTTTTGCATAAAACTTAAGAGCAAATCAATTGATTGTTCAGATTGAGCAAACCAGTCCATGACATCTACTGTCACGGTGTGTGTTTGGCAAAACAGGAATCTAGGTGGGGAGAATTCTATAAACATTAGTTATGCACTGTCAGCATTCCACCATTTTATACATCTGATGACTCTTTAACAAAAGAAGTCTAAAACAAAGCAGAAAAGACACTAATAGTGTGTGACAGTATCTTTCCAAACCAAGGTAATAGTGTAAGCCTAAAAATCTGATCATTTTCCTATCCTATTGTAGGCACATTGTTTTGCCTGAATAGGTGAAAACCAAGAGGAGGCACTGTAAAACTAGTTTTCACTCACAAAGCTCTTGTTTCAGAAATATCAAAACTGGATGCCATAGTTCTAGTTTTCCCATAATTGGTTCCAGCCATACCTTATAAATAACAATGAACTATCAGCCAAAGATAATCAATGATTGCAGCGTCTAAACCCTCACCAAGCCCAGTTGAAGGATCTTCTGTGAATGTTGAACATGGAACTGGTATTTATTTACTAATCTATTTATTATAGAGATAGGGTCATGCTCTGTCTCCCAGGCTGGAGTGCAGTGGTACACTCATAGCTTACTGTAGCTTTGAACTCCTGAGCCCAAGCTGTCCTCTCACCTCAGCTTCCTGAGTAACTGGGACTGTAGTCACATGCCATCATGCCAAGCCAGTTTTAAAAACTTTCTATAGAAACAGCATCTGTCCATATTGCCCAGGCTGGTCTTGAACTGCTGGCCTTAAGCCATCCCCCTTGCTTGGACTCTCAAAGTGCTGGGATTACAGGTATGAGCCACCACACCCAGCATGGGATTTGTTTTAATCAATTGTATCAGTACTGTGGTTTCATTCCACCTTCTTCAAAGTACAGGTTTTAGTCCTTAATTAGCATAATCATAATCAACTTTTCTTTTCTTGCGATATGTCAGTTCCTGACTTCTCATCTTGAGTGAACGCCTCTGAATTTCTTCAATGATATGACTATCTCCCTGGCAAGTAAACAAATTCAGTGGTTATTTATTTGATCACTGTAGTGATCTTGGTATTTCTTTTAATAATATTCATATGTTTATGAATTCATATGTCTTTAATAATATTCATATTTTACTCACTATTTAAATAGGGGATAGTAAGTCAATTTGGTTTTTGTCAGACAAGTCATATATCTCCAGAGTGTTACCAGGAATTAAGAAACAATGGGATTCTTGAGTGGTTTTAAAAACACATCTCTCCCTGCTTTTTTAAACTTTTGCTCATTTCACCAGAATTGCCACAGAATCTATAAACAAACAGTTAATGCTGGTCTACTAGATGATTTCTCTAATTACCATTTGCTAAATCTTTTCAGCATTTGGCTTGCTGTACAAGAATTAAGCAAGATAGAGACTTTGATTTCCTATGAATTCAATAGGTACTCAGAGGATGGGAACGCAAAGACATTATAAAAGACCAAAATCCCAATTCTTAAATATTCAAAGGCTTCAGATAAGATGATTCAGAGTTTCACTGGCGAGCACTCCTGTGCCCTTGATGGGGACATGGAAATGCACACACAGAACAAAACGCTGGAGCCTGGAGGACCTTAGAATTCATTTATACTATCTGCTGCTTCCTCAACAGATGGTAACTTTGCTCTAATTTTAGTGGGTGCTGATTAGCAAAGTGGTCAACTCAAATGTTATAAATTGGTTTCTTTTATTAATGAGTTCATCAGACCCTCAAAAGGACTTGGCCAGCATACTCCCATATTAGTTGAAATTGTGCAAATCCAATGTGGACGTCAGGAAATCCTTTAACCTGTGAGAAAATAATAAAAGGCCACCCTAAGTCAAGCTTATTTATTTTTTTTAACACTTCTTAATAGATGGAAGGGGAGAGGGAAGTAAAGATGACATAGGTCGCTTTCAAATAAAATAATCAGTTATGCACTGAATAGAATAGTGTACTTTAATGCAGCATTACTATTATTTTCTTTTCAATGGACTCATTCTTGGAGCTGCATTTTTCTAATCTCTGAAGAACTAATAGTTCAAAAGGTTTTTCTGTGTGTTGCATTTCTGCACAAGTCCCTAGCTGTGTATAACATCTTACCCTTTTGTGATTAATGTGACATGCTGCCAGTTTTCTCCCTGTTCATTTGGTTTTCCTGGTGTGTCCTACAGATATAACTTTAAAAATAACTCAACTATTCATTCAAATGGGCTTTTTCCTTTTTTTTAAAAAAAGAATAATACATAAAGACTTTAAAAAGCCATAACGAGCAAAGAAATGAAAGTGGCCAATGAAATGGAATATAGAAAAAAATCCCATTCAGTCCTTTTGGGTCTTGTGAGTTGGGTAAATTGAGGTGAAGATTACATGCTTTCCTGCCTTTTCTCTTTTTGTTTTTTCAGAGAGCATCTAGCTCTGTTGCCCAGGCTGAAGTACAGTACAATCTCAGCTCACTGTCACTTCCAGCACCTGGGCTTAAACCATCCTCCCACCTCAGCCTCCCCAGTAGCTGGGATTGCAGTTGCATGCCACCATGCCCAGCTAATTTTTGTATTTTTTATAGAGACAGGGTTTCACCATATTGGCCAGGTTCATCTCGAACTCTGGAGGTCAAGTGATCTGCCCACCTCAGCCTCCCTAAGTGCTGAGATTACAGGCATGCGCCACCACACCTGGCCCTTTTCTGCCTTCTCCTAATGGTGACATGCAGAACCTGGAGAAAAAAACTGTACCAGTTTTTGATACTAGAGTACAGCAAACAAGAGGGCTTGACTCTATTTTTTAATGTTTTGTGCAAACTCTAAAAGGCATAAAGCAGCAACACAAACACAAATGGCTCTGATATAATTGTTAGAGTGGTTCCTATTTTGTATTGCCATGTAAAAATTGCCATAACTTTAGCAACCGAAAAAACACATATCTCACAGCTTCAAGGAGTCAGAAGTCCAGGCCCAGCTTAGCTAGAGCCCCTCCTCGGGGTCTCAAAAGACTGAAGTCAAGGTATTGGCTGGACTGCATTCTCATCTGGAGCCTCAAATAAGGAAGAATCTACTTCCAAGCTCATTTAGATTTTGGACAGAATTTATTTACTTGTGGCTGTTCAACAGCTTCTTACTGGTTTTGACTAGAGGCTGCCCTTAGCTTTTTAACTTTAAATTAAAAAAAATTTTGAGATGGAGTCTTGCTCTGTTGCTTAGGCTGGAATGCAATGGTACAACCTGGGCTCACTGCAAACTGTGCCTGCTGGGTTCAAGTGATTCTCCTGTCTCAGCCTCCCAAGTAGCTGGGATTACAGGTTTGCACCACCACGCCCAGCTATTTTTTGTATTTTTAGTAGAGAGGGGGTTTCGCCATGGCCAGCCTGGTCTCGAACTCTTGGCCTCAAGTCATCTGCCTGCCTCAGCTTCCCAAAGTGCTGGGATTACAGGCATGAACCAGCATGCCAGGCCCAAACTAAGGAATCTGTCTAAAAATTAACATCCATACCTTGGAGTATAATAAAAGAAGCTATTGAAATGAGTGAGATTTATCTGCTAGGAAATAATTTTCATGTAAAGTACACGTAGGAAAGAAAACTCAGTAAGAAAGATTCACCAAATGCTCCGTGGAAAATGATTGTTGGTAGGAATAAAAAGCAGCACTAAACTAGGATGAATCCAATTCCTTCCCATCTTCTAGCTGCACTTGTTTTCCACTAAATGTGGTTTATAAATTTTGCTATATTGTGCATATACCAGGTTCCTCCTAAGCCACTCTGAATAAAGCAATGACATCTACTACTCTGGAGGGGCTCCTTTTTTTTTTTTTTTTTTTGACGTTTGGAATTCTTACCCAAAGAAAGGGAAGACTCATCTTTCCTGAACTTGCCATGTAATGACTCTTAAACCGTATTTACTTGGGTTCATCTTATTATGTCATGCCACTTCGTAGTGAACTGTAAAGTAAGAGCAAGGTGAGCCTAATAAGGAAACAAGATAGAGTTGAAGACAGTGAGCTAATGAAGGAATCAGAGTTAGCATGGAGGAGTACATGGTTGGCAGGACCAGTGGAAGCGGAGCTGTTCCCTCCATTTCCACACCAGGAGGCCCATGCAGGTAAGTGACGACAGAGGCATGGGGGTCAGGTAGGGGTGCAAGGCAGCAGAAAGGACCTGTGATTTTTGTAGAAATTGGTCAGAAATCCCTTCAGATATCTTCATTATACTGTGCACCAGCATTTTCCTCCTTCCCCTCACAAATTCTGGGTAGAGAAAAATGTAAGCTGTAAAGAAGAAAATCAATTTAAAGCACTAAAGGTGAAATTATGTAGAAAAATATCACCCTTTCATGTCTAATTAATCACAGAAAATCTGTCTGCCAGCCCAAAGCCATTTTATCAGAAAGTAGCCCAGGTGAAACAGGGAAATAGCATTACCAAGCTCCACTTGGCTACACATGACAAAATGAAAGATGAGAAACATTGCAGGTGAGCAAAACTGTATTCAATGGCTAATAAAATTAGAATGTTTTACACCTAGAGAGTGCCCTCTCATGAATCTCTTCACAGTGCTCTAAAGTTAACATTGGAGATGATTTCTAATTGATGGTTTTGGTCAATTTACAATTTAACTTGTGAAACAAAAGGCAAAGGTGTAACTTTGTCAAAAAGCCCTGCAGGCCACAGTGTGAAGGATGTAGCAGGTAGTTCTAGAGCTTTCATTTTGAGCAAGGGATAAGAGAACTCTTTGGCATCTAGAAGTTTTAAATGAAAGAAACCATAAATTTTTAAAACCCATTATGTCTTTAAAAAAATTTTTTTTAAATAAAAAAATATGGAACACTTCATGAATTTGCATGTCATCCTTGTGCAGAGGCCATGCTAATCTCTGTATCACTCCAGTTTGAGTGCATGCGCTGCTGAAGCAAGTACTAAACCCAGCATTTCTCAAAGTTATTTAAACCCAGGATTATTATTTTCCAATGCAGCGTCTTTTGACTGCTAGCTCCATATGCTCCATTGAGGAAATACCATTTAAAGTATTTTGAATTCATATCAAAAACCATGTGAAAAAAATAAATTAATTTCATCAGTGCTTCTCAAATCCTATAGCCAATACCCTGAGGGCGAATCAGAGTGAACCTGTCCCTACGAGGGGCAAAGACCAGGGGCCTGGGGCACAGCTAGAGGCTATGAGCTTTGAAGTCATAGTGGTAGCTTAAAATTTTTCTGTGAATTCTGTGTTCGGTTTTATTAGTGCTTGTATTAATATAAAAGTAAAACTTCTCAGATGGTATGTAATAAATTTATCAAGTTTTTCCATACTCTAGCTCACAGGCACAACCTCTGTATTAAATGACCAATATTACCTAGAACAAGTGTTATTGAAGTTGTGAAGTCTCTTAAGAAAGCACATCTCAAGCTTAGGTTATGAACCTGTCTAATGTACTGCAGTAAAAATTTCTTAGCCCACAGTAATTATAAATTTGATAACAAGTAATTTGTGCATAATCAGATAAACACCTAAGCCTAAACGTGTTTTCAAAGGAAATCCAGTTGCTTTTCTATCAGTTGCCACTCATTACTCCTCTTTCTACTGAAATAAAGAGTTCCCAGGCAACGATGACAGCAGATATCAAGTCCTGAGTTCTAAAAACTGAGGGGAAATCTTTCATTCCTAGGTATATACTCAAGAGAATACCTCCATGTGAAATGTATATGCACACAAAAACTTGTTTATATGAATGTTCAAATAGCACTATTCACAATAGCTCCAAAATGGACACATTCAAATGTCTTTCAGTTGATAAATGGGAAAATAAAAAGCAGTACCATATATACATATAATAGAATATATTTGGCCATAAAAAAGGCATGAAGTACTGATGGCATGAAGGCTACAACATAGATAAACCATAGAAAACATTATGCTAAGTGACAGAAGCCAGACAAAAGACTACGAGTATGTATTGCAAGATTCTATTTATGTGAAAGGATCAAATAGACAAATCTTTACAGAGAGAAAATAGATTAGTGGTAGCTAAGGCCTAGCGTAGGGAGATAGGTGAGGGAAATGGAAGTGACTGTATGGACTTTATTTTTGAGGGGAATAAAGTGTTCTACAATTAGATTGTGATGATGGTTGCAAAATCCCGTGAATATACTAAAAACCATTCAAGGTGTTGGGGGGCGGTGGCAAAAAACAAAAAAACAAAAACAAAACAAAAGAAAAAACAAAAAACCATTCAATTGTATACTTTAAATGGGTAAATTGTATAAGATGACTTTTTCTTCAATAAAAGTGTTAAAAATATGATATAGTATGTATTTTCATGTAAATAAATAGATTTTATTTAAAAAAACAAAAAAAAAAATGTAAAAATTAAGGGGAAGGCAAAGCCCCAGGAGTGTCTCATTGTTTTTATTCAACAACACAGAACATAAAATAATGAAGGAAATTGTTTAGGATTTTACATACTTTCTGCTCTTTGCATCAATGGCATGAGAAAAAAATCCCAAGCTTTCTTTATGTATTTATACTCACAAAATGAAATTCAATAAGAAATGCTAGAATTATTTTATATCTTCCTGACTGTTCATTGCAGCAAATAAATCACATTTTATCATTTCTTAGTCATACTCAATTAAACTGTTTCTGTTACACACTCATATTTATCAAGTAACCTATTAATCACATATGTACTTGTGTGTATACGAATAGTTTTTCAGAAAGCCAAAGCCACAGCCAAAGCTTTCTTTTCTCCATAAAGTAGGTTAATGGTGACTGAAAATTTCTCTTAAAATGCTTTCCATAATAATAATCCACCCAGACCTACTGGGATCATGCTGAATATTCAATAGAATACTCAGTAGCATTCTTAGAATTTTAGGACTGGAAGAATCTTTGGAGATGAGCTGTTCAACCTCTTCATTTTGCAGGTCAGGAGCTTAGACCCCAGAGCCAGCAGGCAGCAGAGCTGGGACTGACCCTTAAGTCTCCCAATTCCTAGGTCTGTAATTACTTACTTACCCAAATGATAATTCATGATAGTAATGATGATATTGCAGAAGGTTTTAATCAGTTACTGGAACAATGATCTGAATCATAGCACTTTTCAGTTGTACAGTGGTTAACAGTTTATAAAGGACTCATACATGCATAATTTTATTAGGGCTTCATCACACCATATGGGCCAGGCAGGAATTAGTGTCTCTAAAATAGAATAGAATGAAAACATCCAAATGTCTATCAGTTGATGAATGGGTAAAAATAGAGATGCTAAATAGAGATCTAAAATAAAGATGATAAAATAAAAATAGAGATATAAAATAGAGATGCTAATTTTAGCTTTAAAAGGGTTACAGGGTTTGCCCAAAGCCATAGGGGTAGTAAGTACTAGATATGGAATGAGAACTTCATACCCAACATTTCCCAAGCTGAACTCATGATTCTTTGCCACCATGTCACCCAGTGCCCATGACAAAAATCTTGGTGCCACTCCTGATTTCCTCTCTTCACCTCCACAAATTCGATAGCTGTTACTTCCAACTTCTACACATTTATTTAGTAAAAAAACCATCCACTTCTCTCCACCCTTATTGCCACCACCTGAGTTTCTACTAACATCAGTCTCACTTTATTTTACTGTCATCTCCTCTTGTCTACTTTTGTCTCTACCTGCACAATCTGTTCTTCATAGTGCAAACAAACTGATGTGTGCAAGGCACATTGTGAGTGCTGTGGTCTTAACATTTGTGTCCCCCCCCAACAAATTCAGATGTTACAATTCTAACCTCAAAGGTGATGATATTAGGAGACATGGCCTTTGGGAGGTGACTTGGTCATGAGGGCTCTGACCTCACAAATTGGGATTAGTGCCCTTACAAAAGAGGCCAGAGAGAGACTCGTTACCCCTTCCACAGCATGAGGATGCAGTAAGAAGTGGCCATCTATGAACCATGAAACAGGCCCTCACCAGATACCAAATCTGTTGGCACCATGACCTTGGACTTCCCAGTCCCCAGAACAGTGAGAAATACATTCCCACTGTTTAAAAGCCATCTAAGTTGTGGCGTTTTGTTACAGCAGCCTGAATGGACTGAGAGAGTGAGCATGTCATCCACCATCTTGTCCAAACCCGTCCTGTTTCCTCAGTGTCTTCAGGATGAAGTCTATCAACATAATTTAGAACAACCTTGTCCAACCTGTGACCCGTGGGCTGCATGCGACCCAGGATGGCTTTGAATGTGGCCCAACACAATTAAAACGTTATGAGAATTTTTTTAAAGCTCATCAGCTATCGTTATCATTAGTGTATTTTATGTGTGGCCCAAGACAATTCTTCTTTTTCTAATGTGGCCCAGAAAAGCCAAAAGATTGGACACCCCTGATTTAGAATATCCTTCATGGTCTGGAGCATGCTCACTACTTCAGCTCTGGCCACAGCCTCTGCGTTCAGGTTTACAAAGTCATAGTGGGTTCAAGCAGTGTCCCAAATCTCCTTTGCTCTTGCTCTTTCTCCCTTTACATATGTCCACTGATCTTTTTTTCTCCTCACTTGGCTAACATGTACTAGTTCAAGTATCAGCTTTTGGGTCATTTTCTTGGGATGCTTTCCTTGAGTCCTCAAAGACCAATAAGATGCCTTACTCACTCTCAGAGTAACTGAAGCTTACCCTTACCATAGCATTTACTCTCCCTTGTTAACTTATCCCCAATTAGACTGTAAGATTTTGAGAGCAAGGATTATGTCTTTTTCTGTGTCATATCCCACGTGCCTAGCATATAGGAGGTACTTGATAAATTTTTGTTAATTATAAAGTTAACGCTACAGTAAAGTCAGAATAGTACTAGGCCATTTCTGAAATTCAGCCCAAGTTCTGGCTAGGTGTTTCTTTATATATTGAGGACAATCCTATTCTGAATCCTAAACACTTAAGTTGGGCAAGTGGATAAAGTATTTTCTTATTATAAAACACAAGATTTAAGTGAAATCCTATAAAAATGACACAGGAATGCTAACCATAATGAATGTATTTTGAGATGCTTAAATTGAATACAGCTCTTTGCAAGAGATGCAAATTGTTTAGGCATTCCATATTTCCCCCTCTCCTTTTTCTGAACTCCAGTCGAAGGGGATTGATTAAATCAATCATGCTTCAAGAACTATCTGGATTTCGAAGTGTACTCATCTAACTAGTCCTTATCTTCTAGGATATCAAAGTCATGATTTATCATAATTACCCTCTGAATTTCGTGTTATGCTTTCTCAACATGTTTATAGTTAAAGATATTTCTTACATTATCAATACAGCACATTTTGTTCTGAAAGCATTTTTCATTTCAGTCATTAGTTTAGCTCATCTATACTAACCTTCTAAGATTATGTAAAATCACAATTTTTATGATTGCTTTTATTGGTTTCAGGCTTTAAATACCTGCCAGGGTTTTACAAATTTAAACTACTTTGTCTTAGTTAAAACAGAAGATAGGTGCAGAGGTGTTTGAACGTTTTTGTGCCATGGAACGCGCAGGCAGTCTGGGAAAGCCTGTGATCCCCGTCATAGGACAATGTTTCTACGTGCGTAGAAGAAAATGCATACGATATGCAAAAGCCAATTACATTACAACACAATTATTAGAATATTTAAAAAATTCTGCAACTGCTATGGAAAACAGTTTGACAGTTTCTAAAAAAGCTAAACATAGAATTACTGAATAAAATCCAGAAATTCTACACTAAAGTATATATCCAAGGGAACCAAAACCAGGGACTCAAAGATACTTGTATGCCAGTGTTCACTGCAGCATTTTTCATGATGGCCAAAAGGTGTAAACAACCCAAATGTCCATCAACAGATGAGTGGATAGACAAAATATGATATGTCCATACAATGGAATATTATTCAGCCATAAAATAAAGTGATGATAA